TAATAAAGTGAAATTTTAGGTTTATAAATATATGAAATGTAATATTTGATCATCGTCCAAAATTTGATCGCCAATTTATTACAGTTTTCTCGGAAGCTACAGGGGGAACAAGAACGAATAAGGCGATCTTCTAGAACAAATTTCGCCCGGATGACGTCGTCCGTCATGTGGCTGTTTCACCATTACCAGACCACATTTTTTTTTTTAACGATTTGCATTTATGTCCTTTCAACCGTTGCCGGTCCGGTGTACATAATAATATAATATTATGTCTTGGCTGATGGTTTCAGTTTTTATTTTAACATGTTTGATGAGTACCCTCCCGGATGTTTTAACCATGTATATTAATAAATTATGACATAAATACCCTATAGTATTGGAGGTACTCTGAAGGTCTGTCTTGAATGTTAATAGAATTTATAAACCTATACTTATCAGCGGTTTGGCTATTGTTAATTTTGCCACCCTGCAATTTTAATACCCTGGACCCGCTGGCTAAGTTTTTTAAATTATTATTTTCGGCACCAACTGCCGTCATCAGAGTACTCTTGTTGGATAWAAATATTATAATACCTGCAGAAATCCGTTTTTGGAATATTGTTATAAAATATTACTATACCATCGTATAATTTTTAGTATTATTATTATTTATTATGTTTATAATACATATTGTCGACGGATTTTTTTTTCAAAACAAATTTGCCGTGGTTAAATTAACTTCCTAGTYTGAACTTCATTATTTTTTTAAAACATTATTATATTGTTGTTGTTACTGAATATAAAATTCAATGCGTATAGGAATGTGATAAACGTGTAGATATTCTATGATATTACAATGGATCCATCACAGGAGATTGTTTCTATAGCTCAACGTTCGTCAATTCCGTTTTTTTGGGAAATATTTAATATTATAATAATAAAATAAAACGAACGACCGAATGAACATAACGCGAATAAACGYAACGCCATGTGTATGAAAATAAAAAACCAACTTCCCTTAGGTATATACAAAGAGGACACTACATCCAAATTAACTGTCTTACAAATGTAAAACATAAAAAAAACTGTTTTGCGCAAGAAAGAACCGAGCAAGCTTCATAAATAACTTAGAACCAAAATTTTCACCACATATGAAGGAGAATTTTTCTGTGAAACATCGTTTTTATTTAGTCGATACCGGAAATAAAATTAAAGTTATTCAAGTTTGAAAAATAATGGATTTTGAAACAATAACAGTCAATAAGAACTTTTTTCGCGTAAGTGATATCAAAAAAATACAAAGATATCTCACAGATAAATTTCTCAACCATATTCAATATTGTATATCTATTTGGAATCTTATCTATTACTGTTCACCACAGCTTGAGTGGTTCTATACCGTCCAAAACAGTTTTTGCTATGTACAACATAGCAAAATTACATTATTACATTTGTATGACGGAGAAATCGCATGTGGGTCCTCTCAATTAGCTATCGTATTATCATCGTAGTATACATTTTGGAGTTTGCTTTCGAGGTCCGTGGAAACCATACATGCACGTGGAGAGTCTGATGAAGTATGATACTAAATTTAAAATCTATGGAATATTTTCAATCATACCACGTTTGCACATAAATATAAAATAGGTAGTTAAGAACGATTAATATATATTTTGTTCATCGATCGTAGTCAGAGGCTAAGAATTATGTATAATATATATATATATATATAAAATTTAATTACAAAAATATCATCGCTTTTTAATTTAATTCGTTTTGTTGCTGCAGCTTCTTGTAGGGATCAGCGCTTATTTATTTATGATTATTATATTTACTACATAATTTCACGCCGTGCTCGCGCGTTATTATCATTCCTTAAAACTTATCGTCCCCCGCACAAATGATTATAACGATATATATGTAACTAGACAATATTTGAAACAATCGCATATAGTTGACGAGGAGCGAATATCGTAATAATATATATAATAATTATAACATAAAATATCAAAATTCCGTGCACTACGAATTTATTCTGTCGTCCGCCCGCGACGCGGCGCGGTGCCTAGGAATTCTTTTGCGTTCCCCGCGTGCACGCGTCTATATTTAATCTGATGACACTATATAGGAACGTGTTTAATGGTCCACTATAATATTATGGTGCAGCATGTTTATTGTTTGGTTTTTATAGTCGTCTAATAACGGCCACATGGCTCTATGCATTGCGTCACAAATCGTGTGTATCAATTAAGGTAATCAAACGCCGAATCGACCGTGTCTGGACTTTAGTACGAGTATAATAATAATAATCATATTGTGCTCTAGCAACAGTTTCGACTCAGCCCAGCCACTGCACCGGTGTCTCGTCAGAATGCTGAAAATAATATATTATACTCTTTACTCGCGTATTAATGTTGTGTTTACTGCACTGTACAGTGTTATGAGCATATAATATTATAATACATTTGTCAAAGTCAAATGTTGTTAGYTATAGACTATAGGTTCGGGTATACACCTAAAGTTAAGACAGCGTAAATTATAATTTCGTGTACATAAATAGATGCAGGGGACGTCTAAAATCGTGTCCTAAGAGCGAGAAAATAAAATCTTGACGATGAGTCGAAGTCGTATGTATACATATATTATATACAGTATAGTTAATTTTTGTTTATTTTACAACTCTCTGGGGAAAGAAACCGCACGTTTTATTATAATACATTACAACATTATCGTATATTATTAATACGATGTAATACTAAACTAACCGTAGGGGGTCGGGGAACGACTATTACGGATAGATGATATGTACGAGTATATAGATATATGTACGTATAGTAACCTTCGACCTTCGAAAAAAGTAAAAGCGGACGTTGCTCAACCGAGATGTATAATATTATATACCTACTACCACAGGTATAGTAAGGGGGTATTCGGTTTATTATAATATATTATTGTACTATTATAAAACTATGTAGATCGGCCGCCGCCCGTGAAGCCTTCGCATGTTTCGTCGGATCGAGTGTGACGGTTTACGACGACATAAAAAAAAGAAAAACCCGAAAAGATGTGGATTACGCAATGTGTGTTTGAAAACTAAGGAAAGACGATTTTTAAAATTTGTTTTTATTGCGTTACGCGGTATAAAAATCCGATTATAATGCGTATAAACGCACATCGTACGAGCATATTATGTATAGGTTTATGACGTACCTACAATGTACAGGGTTATATTATAATTATATTATATTGTACACACAGACAACCCGAGGGGTGATAATAAAATATAGAGAAGATAATATTATAATAAATCAGACGATTCACAAATCACGAAAAAAAAATAGTAATAATACTGCAGCTTGTAATCTTTGGATTTGTCGGATGTCTTTGAAAACAATATATCATATACTTATAAAACTATATATTGTAAACGTTTTGTTGTTATTATTATTATTTTTATTACTATTATTATTATTATTATTATTATATTCTATAGTTACAGGGTAAACTACGACCGACCTGCAAGCGACTGCATTATAATATATTATTATACAACGACTGTAAACGGATTTCGTCTGCAACGGTTGCGCGCGGAGGAGAAGACTATTATTATAATAATAATATATATAGGACGGGGCAGCTCTCATATTATAAGTTGTCTCGGAAAACTAAGGTCGTCAGACATTGGAATTGACGAACGCGTGCACTTACAAATTCGTGAATTGTCGCCTAAACGAATTGTTAAAAAAATATATTTATTTGTAATTTTTTGGTTTTAGAGTTTTTGCTGTCGAAAAAAAAATATGAAAACTGTTATGTTTTAACAAAAAGACATTTTGTATTATTTTTTTTTTTTTATAAATCTCCCAAAATGACTCTTATAGCTTATAATATTATTATGTAATTGTAATGTAATTATTAATATAAAGCCGATATGGTTATTAAACACATATCACCAAGTATGAGTCAAATATGTTGTATCTATTCAGGTTTGATTATATTATGATAAAACAGAAATACTATTCTAAGAGAA